TACCTCGCTATTTTAAACAAGGTAATTCTCACCCATTCAGAGTCAAATCTATGGTATGGTGGACATTGCCACGTGCCACTCAGGAGCGGGTCCAGCTGATAATTTTGGAGGGGGCCCTCATAGATTTTAGTTAAAATAATAAAAGTATTTGTTATTATATTATATTATTTATGTACTGTAGATATACTACACAATATTGTTTAAATAATTACATAATTCTAATACAAATAAATATTTTAATCAATTTTGCCAAATGAAGGGAAACAAACACTCTTAAGCCTTTCTTTGGAGGGGGGCATGCTCTCTCCCCCCAGTTCCGACAGTGGCGCCACTAACATTTAGAGTATACCAGCAAAAACAAATAAAAAAATTTTGAGCACTAATTTGAAGTATCCTGATAAGGACACAAATCATAATCTTGCCATGTGCACCTGAATACCTAGATACGCCTCAGGTGTGTGAAGCCAGGCTGAATTTGGAAAATCCTAAATATTTTGAGAGCAAACAAAGAGTTCTCAAAAAGTTTAGAAAATTATAACAAAAAATTAAATTTAAAAGGCAAAAAAAGGCTGTGAGCTAAAGTCAGAAAATTCAAAACTTTCCAATAAGTTTCAATTGCTGTTAGACTTTTACAGTTCTCAAAAACATTCTGACAAAAAATTCAAAAAATAACAAAATTATTGAAAAAATAGCTTCCATTTATTGAGAAAAATTTTAAAACTATTTTTTTAGATGTCGCCAGAGTTCTGGATTGCAGATGAGTTCTAAAGTACAAATACACTTTTGTCGACCGACGTCAAACACGAAAATTTCAATATTTTTATTTTTTAGAATTTAGAGAAAAAAAACTCAAAATTTTATTTCATCGGTTCTGAAGAGAGTTCTAAATAGAGAACAAGGAGTTTTATAGATATTAGCGATATTGTAAATTCAAAAATTGAAACTCTCTCTGATAGAACTTTGAGTTTTCGAAATTGAAGTCATTTTAAGTACTTTAACTCACAAAGACAGTAGTCTTTACAAATAGCTGGAAATGTGCATACCAACGGCGTGAGAGATCTTAAAAAATTACATTACAAAATTACATATTTTAAAAAAAAATACCCCGAAATGAACTTTACGTCATAATAATGAGTTCAATTAGCACAAACCGTTCGAAATGTTTGACGAAAAAAATGGAGCAATTTTTGAGAAAATGTCATTTGAGCGTTTCTAAAAATTTTGAGCTAGTTTTCACAACAAAAAAACATTGAGTTTTCGAGAAATTTCATATGACATTATTTAAAAATGCATTTTTGATTTAAAAAAAAAACATAATAGAGTAATAAGACGTTTTTGTCATCTTGTGGAATACATTTGGCATCAGAGAGTATATATCATAGCATCATCACTACCGAAAGTTTAAAGGAAAAATTGAAGCCGTTATTGAAAAACCTTGATTTTGTATTTTTTTTTAATTGCACATATTTGACGCAATATTGCGCGAAGACTACTAAAAGTTTCGAAAAAATGTACGTGACCTTAATAAAAGAACTCACTGTGGAGAACAAATTTTATTTGAAAGAAAAATCTCTATCTAATTTTGTAGTCAAAGGAAGACACCCAAAACATCGTATTTTGAAATATTCGAAAATTGAAAGTTAACCGTGAAAATCGGATCTACGCCACCTTTATAAGTGTGTATTAATTTGCCACATATGCTTGCCAGCTGCCATCTATCGCCGCTCAAAATATATTTTTTAGAAGTTTTCTTAATTTTTCGGTCTCCTAATAGTAGAGCGGAAATATTATTTTAAGAATATTACAGGACAGTAAATCCTCGCCCTAAATGTCAATATTCTTTGACGAACTGGGAGACTTTTTAAGAAAATGGTGTTAAGGCGCTACTATAAATTCGAAATTTGAGCCTTTTTTCACAGAAAACTATCGAGTTCCCGAAAAACTTCATATTAAGTCATTTCAAGCCCTTCCAGTCACAAATGCAATAGTGCTTACAAAATGCTGGAAATGTGCAAATTAAAGGCGTGAGAGATATTACAAAGTAGTGTAATTGTTGAAAAACAAATTACCCCAAAATAAACTTTAATTAACGCTATCCCTTCGAAAAACTTTAAGAACAAAATTGGAGCCGTTTATGAGAAAATGGCGTTTGAGATTTGCTGAAAATGTGGAAGTTTGATATAGTTTTCACAAAAAATTGTTGAGTTTTCGAGAAACTTTAATTGACATTACTTAAAGCACGTGCACACACAAATGTAATGTGAACTAATCGCCGTCAATGTTAATATTAACGACGTGAGAGACAAGTAAATTTTTTTT